CATATGGGAGGAGTGTCTGTCTCTTCCAAGTTGCAAAGTCACCTTGTCTTCCATCTTGTCTGCTTGAGGGTCTGACCCTGTCTAACTGCCTATAATATTTTTATCTAACTTGGCTGCCTACTACACTAGCATGAACAATTGCTACTGGACCAACCTTCTTTCTCTTTTTTATGGTCAAATAATAAACTTTATTTTACTGATAAATGTGGAACGCACAGTTTTGTCATGTACCAAAATGAACAGTGCCCTCCGGGTCACTCGTGCAATCTCCTTGACTTTGTCTCGCTTGGTGTGCACGTGTGTTACTTTGCCCGGATACAACACTGACACGGACGTTCTGTAACCCACACACTGCCGCCGCTGGGTGTCACACACTGCAACACAGCTTGCCTTCTTCCCTGTCGAATGGGCTCATTCTCAGGAGAAGTTAAAGAGAATAAAAGTTTAAAACCTCACAACTCAGTAGCTCCATTGTAGAAGCAAGAAATTCTACCATCTTTCAGGGTTGCTTTTTTAATCCGGTGTCTCCTGTTCCCAGTGCTAGTCTGCTTTCGCTGGGCTGAGAGGCGTGAGTAGCGGAATGGAACAGGAGTTAGGGGTGAGACCGGAGATGTAAGGGCTGGCCCACATGCAGGGCATGGGGTGGCCAGCAGGCAGAGGAGCGCGGGGTTCTGCTCTTGTCAGCTTCTCAGCCGAGGTGCAGCCGCCTCCACACAGAGGTGTGCGCAGGAAGGACATGGTGACATCGACCGTTGGAAAGATCCTGGTCCAACCTTATTTATTGTCATTGACTCACAGTAATTACTGTCTGCCACAAAGTCCGTGATAGCGGCCGAAGAGAGGTATGTACCAGGGAAGTTAGAGAGGATGATCTTGTCCACGTGAAGATTAGTAGTTGTAGCGCCAGGGAGATGGCTCTGTAGAATAAGCGCTTCCCTGGCAAGTGCAAGGGCCTGAGTTTAATCCCCAGTTCCGCTAAAAAAAAAAAAAAAAAAAAAAAAAAGGTTAAGTAGTTGTTTGAGTAACATAATGAAGCAGTGCTGATGAATGCTTTGCTGGTCACTTTGTTGGGCAAACAGTGTTTATGAAGTTCACAAAAGATGTAAAGTTAGGAGAGGCAGCATCTACATTCTCTGAGAGTTAGACCTGACACTATATACAAGCCAATGACACGGAATTTAGTGGAAAGAATTAAAAGGCTTACTTTTTTTATGTAATTAGGACAGGGTCTACAGGATCTCACTACACAGATTGGGCTCGTAGTAATCCTATTTTCAGCCTCCCAAGTGGTGGGATTACAGGCACGCACCACCACACCCAGTCTCAATCACCATCTCAGGGCTCCCCAGAGGAGGAGCCAGCACAGCACTCCAAGGATCCAACCCTGGTCCCTGAATCTACCTAAGCAGGCACTTTAATCCACTGAGCTATCTGGCCAGCCCTACATTTTTTTTTTATGTTTATCTTTTGTTTGGTTGGTTTTTGTTTTTTTGTATTTTAGGGAAGGGTCTACAAGGTGTTCAGGGTCTTACTTCTAGATCAGACATGTAGTGATCCGCATGGTTACAGCATCCCAAGAGCTGGGATTACAGGTGCGCGCCACCATGCCCAGTCTCAATCACTGTTTCAGGGCACCCTGGGGACAGGCTGGCCAGCACAGCACTCCAGGGATCAAGCCCCGGTCCCTGTATCTGCCTAACCAGGCGCTTTAATCCACTGAGCTATCTGGCCAGCCCAACATTTATTTTCAGAGAAGCCATGTTCACTAGTACAGCAGAGAGAATATCCGGTTTACCTGTATCAGATAAAAAAGAGATTTGGGGAACAGAATAACATACCAGTGCCTAAAAAAAATTCTAACAATGTATACATTGACCATAAATTTAAGTGTATTTTACAATTAAATCCCATAATGCCACAATTATATTTTAGGGTTTTTAGAATTTATTTCCTGTTCAAGAAAAGAACACCATCTAAAATGAGGAGACAGAATTTCTGGCCTATTGGGCACTGAGCAGGACTCCTACACTGTAACCATCTCACATTCTTCCAAACACTGCACTTCCTACGTGAACAAGGAGCAAACCAGGAACTTCTCAAATGAAAAGAACCAAGGTTGGTGGCGGAGGAATACGCTGGTTTTATGACATAAATACAAACAGAATAAGTAGCTGGCTTATGACTCAGACAGAATGGTGTAGCTGTCATGTAGCCCAGTTGATCAGGAGTGGAAGTAAACAGAATGCTCTATGCACCTTGACTAAAAACAACTGTTGCTAGAGGCTTCAGGGAAATAAAATTTGCTCTCATATAAATTAGCCTTTTTTTAGCAGAGCTCTCCACAGATGAAATGGCTCACCTTAAAAGCTATGAGAGCCCCAATACTGAAAACTCAGCCAAAGGGAGGAAACCTTCAGGTAGATGCTTCACACAGAGCACACTGTACTGCACTGACTAGAGCCCCTGGGAAATGTTGGGAGGTATGGACTACCGCCTCAGGAGGCTGACTGTGACTACTTACCTTTTAAAGATGGTATTTTTTTTTTAAAGATGGTATTAACTCTAGGCTTTGAACCATTATGAAACTGAGGAGAAGCCCCTTCTCTTCCTAATTCCTTGGTTGTTTTTGTTGTTGTTGTTGCTGTTGCTGTTTGTTTGTTTGGGGTTTTCTTTGGCAGAACTGGGGATTGAAATCAGGCCCTTGCACTTGCCAGGGAAGAGCTTATTCCACTGAGCCATCTCCCCGGCCCCACCTTGGGGGTTTTATCATGGAAGTACTGTTGAGGAGAATGACATAAGAATCCTACAGAAGCCAGACACGGTGACTCAAACCTGTTATCCCAGCCCTCTGTCTCAACATGAAAATAATAGAAAGGGGCTGGAGGTGTAGCTCAGTGTGCAGACTCTGGGTTCCCAGTAGTTGGGGGGACCTCCAGGCATGGACCTCATTCTACTAAATAACAGCTTCAGAATAATTGAGGTCATTCTATGGACAAGACACTCATAAGAAGGAACTTAGAGATACTGTACTCAGTGCACCATGCTTTCATTTTCTAGACTTCACCATCCCTGAAAAACCTCAATAGCTATGCTCAGAATCCTGGTATTGTTTGTTAACAAGGTCATATACCTGTTTTCTGATGCCCACCACTTCAGTCTTGCCCTGGGGTTTCTTCCTTACCTTGCCTAGCCCTTTTATGCCATTCTTTTAAAACCCATAAGCACTATGTATCATTTCAGTGTAGTCCTCGAGGTCAGCTGGTACAACTAAGGGTTGTACCTCTTTCCTGTAGCTTAGGGGTGAGCCACATAGGAACAAAGGAGCAGCTTCTAAGCTTTCCATCAAACATAAGCCCACATCTGGGCAGAGAAGAGAAAGAGAAACCAAAAGTGCTCAAAAAGAAAGATGGCAGCCAGATGTGGTGGCTCAGGCCTGCAATCCCAGCACTGGAGAGGTTGAGACAGGAAAATTACAAGGAGTTCAAGGTCAAACTGAGCTATATAGTGAGTTCAAGACCAGCTAGAACTACATAGTAAAGTCCTGTCTGAAGGAAAGAAAGAAGAGAGAGAGAAAGAAAGAGAGAGAGAGAGAGAGAGAGAGAGAGAGAGAGAGAGAGAGAAAGAAAGAAAGAAAGAAAGAAAGAAAGAAAGAAAGAAAGAAAGAAAGAAAGAAAG